AGGGCAGGAAGAGTGGAAGTTTAAACGATGATCTTACTGAGATAAAGTACCAAGTACCACTTTGAGAGTTTTAGGGAAATGAAAACACTCTTGATTTAGTCCTGTACCAGGATTAATGCAGTTAAGTTTATGAAGGATCAGAGCAGATGCCCACAAATCACCACCGCTGACTGGGGCAGTGACTCACCTCCCACCACCATAGTGACCACCACCTCACACTAAAGAAAGAAGTCGACGGGCAGATCCAAAAAGTCTTAAAGTTCAAAATAAATACAATCTGAGCTTATATAAACTCTTGGTGAGTCTGTGTTCTCGTGTTTGTAAAGAAGGGGAAAAAAGAGTTTTCATAGAATGAAACCACAAACAGTTCCAGATCCAGAGAGAGTGACGGTTGGGGTGCAGTTACACTCCTGTTACTCATTAACTGCAGACATTGTTTTCAATATGGTTAGGCATCATTATTGTATCATATGATGTACTGTACAATCATCAAGTCCTGTCTTTATACATAACTCATGTCTGCTGTCTATAAGACTGACTGGAGCTTTTATAGAAAACAGAAACAACTTTGAAAAAAAAACCATGCATGACATCATTGTTATGACTTCTTTATGATGTTTCTGTCAGTGTTTAGTGATAAATGATGGGGGGAAAAAACCCTCTCTGAATTGAAATCTTATCACAGATGATTCAGTCCAGAACCAGCTATGAGCTGACGCACTTTGGAGGAGGTGGTCTTAACAGAGACCAGGGGGGAGAACATTCAGACGTCTCATCAGTTTTCATCTGTGCTCTCAGTACAAGTCCATCAACAGAACCATGTCTAAATACTCAGTGTCTTTTCCTCTGATACTGGTCACAGTCTAACTAGTTTGAGGTGATTCCTCTGGAATCATTTACACTCGATTTCATTTGTATTTTCTCTGTTTAAATATTCCGTTTTTATTTATTGTTTAGGTTTTTCCAGTATCTGAAGAGAAGGTCTGGAACCAAAGACTAAATGGACTGTACTTGTTCTAGAAGTAACTCCACATGCACTTTAGGAAACACAACAGACTGACAGCTTGAGGGGCAGTGAGAATCTGGTTACAGCTGAGGTTTGACAATGATGTTGAGTTCCTTCCAAAACCAGCAGAGAACTTTGTTTCTCTGATAAGGTCTTTAAAGGAACCATTAATATGGTAAACTCATAGATATGCCCATTGCCACCATACAGTCCTAGTTTGATTCTTGTGTTCAGTGTTCTTCATTTTAGGATAGCTTAAAAATGACTGACCTCAGAAAACATGACAACACAACCAGAGTCCTTACCAGAATGCTCTTGTAGATGTTTCCGTTACTGACAGACTCCACGCTGACCCTGATGATGCAGGAATCAGCGATCTGTTTGTTGTAGACCGGCAGTGAGGCCTGAGAGGAGCAGCTGGAGGAGGAGGAGCAGGAGGAGGAGGAGGGAGAGGAGGAGGACGAGTCAGAGCTCATCCCCAGACAGGAGGAGCTGAGGTCTGGCTGAGAGGAGCTACAGGAGGAACTGCAAAGACTAGGAGAGGAGGAGGACGATGAGGAGGAACAGAAGTCCTCGGCTACATCATGGAGAGAACCTGACAGAGACTGAAGGGAAGAAAGAGCAGAATAAAACAAAAATCCTCTCTAATTTTCCAACAATTTTGCTGATGTCACTGCCGAAGACAAACCTTCCTACCCATACCTTTAGTTTGAGTCTGAGAGGAGACGACTGAGGAGCAGAGAGCTCCTCCATGTCTGAACTGCTGGAGCCTGACGACACACTGATCTGGTCAGAGTGGGTTTTTCTGGTGGAACTGTCACCAGAAGACCGCAATCTGGAAGAGCACAAAAATGTACAGAGACACACATTATTTAATTCATCTAATCGTTTAGTTGTTTACACTTTAAATAAGTAGCATTCATTTGACCTCCTTCATCTGTTTCTTTCAGTATCCTAATTACACCAAGTGATATTTTGTTCCTGACAATCACCTCTTCTAACAGTAACACCGCACTCTAGTGGTATTAAGTGTGAACTGCATCTTATTTAGATAAGCAAAAATAATGTTTGTTTCTTTTTGTCTTGTTGGTGCAATGAAGTTTAATGTTTTTTCTTAAAACTGTAATGGCATTTCTGGCTTTACTCTGGGTAATTTGTAAGTTTAGTTTTTGAAGTAACTCAATATCTGAATAATTGTTTCTGACTATTAGTATTTAAAAGTTTGGTAACTACAAAAGTATTTTCTGTGACACAACTGTGAGTCCCAGAGCCAGTACTGGGACTCTTTAGAGCATTACTTTGTTTGATCAAGAACAAAATTGGCTAAAGTGAGAAGGACAGTCTTAATGCATTGACTTTTAATCACCTTCTTTAGTTTAATTTTTTTTAATTTAATAATATTTAAGTGCAACTAAGCTGAACTTTGACACTTACGAGGCCAGTTTCTTTGAGAGCAGACGACTGGGACAAGGATCAACTGGAGGCTCCAGGTCCCGTGAGAGCTCATAACTTCAAGGAAGAGAGACAAAAATAGATTAGGATAAGGCACAAATTCTTTTAACCATGACTATAATCCAGCAGAGCTGTGGCTGTGTCCAACCTCTCCTGGTCGGTGAGCAGAGTGTGTGTCTGCAGCCAGGAAGTGACGTGAGGGTTCTCTGTGAAGCTGTAGTGAGAACAGGACATCTGGAGCTGTCGGATCTGGGAGAGAATCTCAAACTCCTGTAACACAAAGGCATACAGTAACATAACACGTAATCACACTTAGCATCTTGCGCTTCGATTTAGGTAAGGTGCACCTAGGGGGCAACACCTACCCGCCTGCGTTTCTCAAAGTTGATCAGTCCTCCCTGTGAAAAAGAAGAAGACAAATATGCAGTGTGATATGGTGTCGTAAATTTATTGCTGTTAAATAACAGATGGAGGTGTGTGTGTCTATTATAACTCATCTTGAGGGGACATTTCTTTATAAAAATATCATGTTATAAAATCTTGCAGATCCAAAAAGAGCAGGGGAAATTGTATTGGTACAAAAATTCGTCTGGGGTGAGCATTAAAGTTTGGGCAATATTGGAGCCAGGATAAGGAAGTAAAATAAAGTAAAATAAAACTGGTGACTGTGTCATGGGTCTGTGTGTGTGTGCATGCGTACACTAACTCACCTCAATGTTGTCTGTCAGTGCAGTGTCCAGCATGGTGAGGGCAGTCAGGTAAGTGCCCAGGTACGGAACAAAACCACTGCTCAGGTTCTGAAGACAGAAATCAAACTGAGTCAAAAACTGTAAATATTACTTTAGTGTATAATTTTAACATTTTCTGCTCTTCTTTGGGCAGACTGTTAACTAACCCACCGTTTTTATCTGCAGTCACTAGTGGATTTTGACATACATTTATCTTCCTTTTGCAATACTGTATTTCTTTGCCATATATCGTTTGACTTATTTATAGTTTGTTCTAAATTAGCGTTAACTTTAAGCTGTAGCGGATTTTTAAGATACCATTTAATTTTTAATTAAAATATTCCATTTGTTCTGTTATGTTCTTGAAAACCAAAAATATCAGCTTTCTAGTCAATTATCTACTTGTTATAACTTTATAAGAGATATACAGTATGTATTTATAGACTGGACCTCAACTTGTTGTTCTCTGTCTTTTAATACCGTTTCCTGTCACTGAAGATTAAGATTGAATTCACCAATGATGAGAAAATGTTTTTCAAAGGTTTGAAAAACTATGTACTCATGGATGAGTGCAGAGAACAGGTTGTTAAAGGAACATCACTGAAGCGTATTGTGGTGACAATAAGGACCGTCAATGACAGGTAGAGACAGTAGAGGGCAGCGTGCCAAGTTCATTCCTGAAGAGCTTATTAAAGCTAATGGTACATCTACTACCCAAAGAGAACAAAAGTGATGTCACCACCAGGCCACATCGAGGACATCCTGAACCTGAACATTCACAAACGGTTCCATTCTCACCTCAAAAGTTTCAAATACTTCAAATACCTCAAAACACTTCTGTTAGCTTCCAACTTTAATCTATTTTAGCTCTTTCCCAACTGTTTTTTTTGTACATATTGTAATCAGATTACTTTTCTAATAAGGATTCCTGTTTGTTATTTTGTGACAGGAGATTTCAGATCAGTTCCAGGGTCCTTTTTTTGTTTAAATTTTTCTGCTAAATGTAAGCTATTTAAAGACAAATGTTTTGTTATTGTTTGGCTGATTTCACCCTATGTTTGTTAACCAAAGTATTTGGATGATATTTTATCCACTGTTTAATTTCAGCTTCTGTCTTCCCTGGGTTTTCTCTAGCTTCAGTTTCTATATTTTAGGCTAACCTGTATTTGTTAGACAATATCACTTATTTAAAGGCAAACATTTCATTATCTTTTGGCCACTATGTGCCATTTGTTTTCCATGCTCTCTTTTCTATATTTCTGCAAAATATTATACTATTAAATTTAGGAACTTAAAAATCTAATTTAGAAAATCCAAATCTAAATCATTTGGTTATCTATAACCTTATTTGGGCTATTTTTTGGTTAACATTTAGCCATTTCTCAGCTTTTATTGTTTTTTGTAAGCACGTAGAATTTTGACTGACATGTAACAATATTAGCAATTTAAAATCAAACTTTAACTATTGATGAAATAATACTTGGCTTGAGTTTAGATCAAGAGTTTTGTCAAATTCTTGCTATTTTTTGGTTGACCATTGTTTTTATGTAAAAACAAAATTTAAAAACCTTACCTGCCTTGTCAGCTAATTTAAACAGCTTTTAGCTGCAGTTTAACAACAACTGTCCAATTTGGTTTGTGTGATAAAGTGTTTCCTGCTCAGGCAACAAAACAAACAACTTTATTGGCACTGATTGTTTTCTTTGTGAACATGCTGCATCGGCACTGAACTGTTGAATGCTCTCTATTTAGTAAAAATATATTTAAATCAAAATCTATTGAACACAATAACGTGTAAACTTTACACAATAAAGGTTCTGAGCAATAATATGCAACAGTGACGTTTTTGTTATGCCACCAACATGCTAACCACTAGACCACCATGCTGGTACATTTGAACTTTTAACCACCTGACTCACTGTCCCTCTGTGAAACAATTGTTAAGAAATTAATAATTAAATTTGGATAGCAGCATTAAGCTCCGCCCTCCATCCAAAGTATCAGAGGTGGAGCGACTGACACTGGTGGAGCGACTGACACTGTTCTTTGGGAGATAACTCGTTTGTCAGTTTTGCTAACCACTCCCTCTTTAACAATCCTTTTAAATACCCTTCTGTAGTTGCATCATCAGAGAGTTGATAAGAAGAAGTGACTCTGGTGAATCAACACCCAACCACTGATAAACCTGCAGCAGGACCTGCAGCAGAACTGCATTGACACAGCTTCAAACACCAGCCTCTTTTATTCTAGGGTCAAGGCTGCAGCTCAGGGCTAGGTGTGATCTCTGTACTAGTTTACTATCGTTAACTTCTATATTCATCCATTTTAATTTACTTTTATTCGACAAATCAAATCTCACTTCAGGGCATTTACTGTAAGCATTTAGTCATAAAAATGTATTCTGGTCAAATACATCTTTTTTTAATTCACTCTATTCTTATTTCTGTTCTGCCTCTTTTTTTATTGTGTTTTTTGCCACTTTAACTTTTAAATTATTATTATTTATTAGTATTATTGTTTTTATGATATGTATATCTATAGTTTCTAGATGTTGTACGACTGAAGACTCCTTATTATTGATTATTAACATTATTATTGACACCCTCTCATCTACTGGCACTTTAACAGAAGAACCACCACCTAATTATCACTGTCTCAGTTTATGGTTTCACTAATGCCCTGAGGCGTGTACTCACTGAGTACATCTGTGGTACTAGTCAATCAGACGGAATGTTCTCAGTGAATTAATACCTGCTTATTGGCAGTAGTTGTGAGCAGGAAGTGTGTATTTATAGTTGTACTGCTGAAAACAGTAAGGTCAGAAAAAAAGACATAGATAATAAGTGAGAGTAAAGGGACAAATATGTCTCTCTACAAAATGTCAGTTTTTTAAAAACGTCTCCAGGACCAAGACTTTCTGTAATCTTCATTTATTCAATAACAGTATTTTTGCTGCCTCCTATAGACCTGTAGGCATAGAGCTGGAAGAGGAGTAGGGGTTGGTGAACTGTTTGGTTTGGGGAATTTTGGAAGAATTCAATACTGTCCACCAAATGTCAATTGTGTCTGAAGTGCGCCATCTAGTGGGGCTAACTGATAAGTCAAGTAATGCAAAGGCAAAAAAAAGGTAAAACAACCTTGGGCAAACTGCCTTGCTCAGGGATACACAGGCACAATGAACATTGTGTGATGAAACTCTTGTCCTTTTGCTCTGCCACAGATCCACTTTCATTTCTTTCTGTTCTCTGCCTTTTATTTTAATTTAATTTGCAGTAATCCTGCTCAACTAAATGTCACTAACAGTGACAGTGATCTGTTGTGACAGTTAGTCTTCCTGTCTTTTACCCTAACAACTCAGGGTGAACTTTAGGTGAGTCCCCAAAAACACTTGATGTTAGGTACTCAATATTTATTCAGGGAAAGAACTTCATTTCAAGTTAATGACAACAGTTCTAGTCCTCAACACACACAACTGCCAAAAAAGGAACATTCCACTCGTGTTTCTGCACAGATCAGAGCCACTCAATACTATAATGACATAATGCGTCTTCACCACTAAATTAGGCAGCGATGTACGAGAATCAGGAGTTCACAATGTTCAACGAGTGTTGTCATGCACCACTGGTACAGTACATACCTCCATTGGGATCTCCTTGGTGGTGAGCACACAGTTCTCATCAGGAAAAGTCTCACACAGGTGGTCAAACGTTGCCATGCTCTCCCTGAAAACAAGGAAAAAACTTTTCTAAATCAACATATTCTTCAGACCAGGACTTTAGTGCTAATTTCAATTATTTCTCCACCTTCGGTAATATTCTGTGTGCCTGTTATACAGTGAGCTGATTGGTCAGACTACTGGCGGCTGTCGTCACACTTTCACGGCCATTTTTAATTTCAGTGGTTGTGGCTTTGGATTCTACATTAACACAGGTTTTAGAGCCTTTATTTACCATTGAACCCTAAGTGATCCATCAACTGAACACAGCTGTTAATACATGTTTTACTAATGTCTAAGTAAATATCAAATTTTATACTTTGAAAGGAAACTTGCCCCCTGCTGACCAGAATTGATTCTGCAGCTAGAATTTTCTGCAGTTCCTAAAATGAGACTAATGATGTAATATAGATATAACTATTGAAACTACTGTAATGTGCTTGTGGCACTGGTACTGACCTGCAGACCGCCGACCAGGTCTTTTTGAGGCGATAGACTGCGTTTGACTGCAGGGCTGAGAGGATGGCCTTCAGTGAGGAGAAGTTCTTCTGCTCTCTACACTCCTGCAGAGACACATTTCAGTATTGTAACATTTTGTAACAAAACTTTCAAACTTCTTTCCTGGAAACCATAAATCTTCCCACTGACCTGTGCAACGGCAATCCACCTCTCAATGATATGTGCCCTGTGGGCGGGGCTTGCATGCAGACAGCGAGGTAAGCTCGGGCTTGTTGCTGGGTACGTGAAGGCCATGGAGGAGCGGGGTGATGAGAGGGGGGAAGACGTGGAAGGGGATGGTGAGGACGGACAGAGAAGTGAGGTGATGACACGGTTGGTGACGGCGTTGAACTGGGAGATTGTAGCGCGGACCGTGGGAGACTGGTTTTGGTTTTCCTTCTTGTCACGCTGGGACCAGACGCAGCCCAGGCAGTGGAAGGGCACCACCCGAACAAACAGATCCTGAGGAAGAAGAGATGATGAAGATTAGAGGTCCAAGTTGTTGACTGTTTTTTGCTTGTTTTGTGTTACCTTTACACAATTTAATTTGAGGTTTGTAAATGGTTCAAAAGTTCAAATTGTAAAATCCTGTGTAACTATTTCTTTGAGCCTGTCAACAGTAAAGTGCTCCTGGACTTCACTATGGCATATGAAGAGCTGCATTTTTCCAGCTCAGCTGTTATACAGAACCCACATTTTACCAAACAATTGCAAATTCCAGACTAAAACCAACTCATCAACTTGATCAAAATGTTGATAGTTGCTGAACTTGACTTGATAGCAACGTCTAATCCGCAGCATAGCATTTACCCATTACCCACTATGTTATACATAAACCATAGACATGTGAACATAAAAAGGTCAGAAGAACATACATAACCTGTTCTACATAAGAACACAAAAACTTCCATCACCATGTCAAATGAAATAATAAAATAAGGCATCCAGCGTGGCCTTTTGCTCTTTAGTCTTTCATATTTCCAGGTATGTTATTGATATTGAACTCAGGAAGCAGGTAGTTATCAGTATCCACTCTAAAATAAAAGTTATCATCCATCTGTAGGCTTGAATCCCCAGAGGTTTCCTGTCCTAACTCTACTTCAATCACTAATTATTACAGGGTTGATGAATATGTGACCAACAGTAAAGAAGCATTAATTAAACTAAAAACCTACAGCGTCCAGACGGGTCAGCTGCTCCGCTATTTCTCTCACACTGAAGTCCATGAAGCTGTTGTTGTCTTCGTCCATGGAGGAGGTCTCTTCTCCTCCTCCTCCTCCTCCTCCTCCATCTTCTTCCTCCTGTTTGGTCTCCTGCTCCTGTGGAGATTTACTGCCGTGTGTTGACGCAGAGCAGCTGCAATCTGTCAAACACAGACGGTCATAAATGACAATGAAGCGGAGGATTTTTCCAAGGACACAGAACAAAATGTAAATAAAGGAGAGAAAACACTTCCATCACTTCTGCTCCGGTTCCCACAGTCCTGATCTAATGTTTCATTTGCTTTTAGACAGCTTTCTTATACGACTGTAAAAATGTACTTTAAGTTTAAGCATTTAGAATTACAGCAATAAAATATGTATGTAATAGGTCATTCAAATGAAAAACTGATGACTATGATTAAACCTTTCAGAAGTTAGCACTGCAAGGCTTTTTACATAGTGGCTCACTTCATTTTGCTTCATTGTTTAATTACTATTGTCATTCATTTTTACCTTGCTCCTGGAAGGTCTTCAGCAGGGTCTCCGCGGCCTGAGCCAATCGTCTGAAGCAGAGGCGATGCCGTAAATGTACACACAACAACCGGAGGGCCTGGTACTGTTTAGGTTCATGGAAATCTTCACTGTACTCCTCCAGCCACCGCCGAATCAATGAAGGCAGAATACTGAGGAAAAGAGAAGGTCAAGACAAAGAGTGAATTCTGTGTCCAACGTTGGTTTACAAAAAAACAAAACAACTTTGGTGTCAAGTCTTACCTACGAGGGCAGACACTGTTGTCCAGGTTTGTGACCGAGTCATCTCTGTAAAAACAAAACTGAATATCAGTGGTGGTTGAAACAGAAAACATCCTGTTCACGTTCAATGTCCCTGAACATTTTCCTCAGGAATTGTTCATCCGAAGGAAACGTCCGACATCACCTTGAAGCCCTGCAGAGACTCAGTGGCCTTGTTAGAAAGCTGGAAGGACAAAAGTCAACACTCTCCTCCACTGATGACGGAATATATAATTTTATCTTGTGCCATGATATGTCTCGGTGTTGGCGCAAACAATCCAGACAAACCATGAATAAAGTTCAATGTTTTTTATTCCTCATAATCATCAAAGAATATTGGCTTTGACTCTGCACTGAAATTCTGGGGACAAAGAAGGAATTTGTTTCAGGCTGAGAAAAAGATAAATACTCATTTATGACATAGAACTCGGGCCAATACGTGTTGACACAGGGAAAACGTTATACAGCAAAGTTCTAATGGATAGGACCTTAACAAATAACCTTTCAATTCTTAATAACAGCTTGTCCATCAACCAGCGACCAATCAATCCCCCACGACGCCCCAGCCATATCAGAGTGTAGGACTTTGATGCCATTAGGTCTTCTGTAAAACACTTCACTAAAGGCAGGGTGATCTACAGTATCTCAAAAGCATGAGAACACTGTAATAAAAAAAAACCTGGTGCCTAAACAATCAAAGACACGTGAAACCAACTCCCTCTTTCATCCGCTTTCATCCGCTTTGAACTCTGAGGTCAATCTTATGTTTTTTCACTTTGTTTGAAATAAATTTTTGTTTGATCAATGTTCAAATAATTGTAAAGGTTCAAAAAAGCTAACTTAAGCCAAGCTAAAGATAGTCATTTCTGAATAATTGTGATTTTCAATGTGAATCAAAATAATTGTGATTATGATTTTTTGAGCAGCCTGTTATACATTTTTAAACATATTGTAGTATATAGCATCAGTGCCCCTGTACCGTCATACATATAACACTATAATACTTTTTTTCCAAAAGGGCAAAATTGTCAGGTTTATTAAAGGCTTATTACAGTCAAGACGCTAAACAGACTCAGCAGTCAAGTCAAATTTTTACAGAAGTTCATTAACACTGACATTAATGTTTAATAACAAAATTATAATCTCATTTGTAGATTATGTCTTATTTTCAACATGTTTTCAACACATTTTCCCTTTAAGGCCTAATATTTTTCACTAAAAATAAAAACCTTTCAGCCAAGAAGTTTTATCACTTCATGCAATGTTCCCGTAATCTAAAGAAGCAGAACACACTTCCTACAGCAGGTCGTGCTGAGGGCAACCTTTCTGTCTATTAACAGGAAGCCTGTTGCCACCAGCAGCACAGATATGAGGGCATCTGTTTGACAACTAATATTATCATCTCAATGTCAACACAGCACAGTGAGCAGTACTCTGAGCCGAGGAGAGCTCACCAGTAAAATCTTCCACCTTGTACCAAACAACACATCATTTCTCATCCAACCCAGGGCACTAACATTAAACTACAGCCATGTTCAGAGGCAGGTGGGTTGTTGCAGGTGATTTCTTAACCAAATCTGATCTCACAGCCTGCTCTGACACTTCTCCTCCCTCCCTGGGTGTGGTGGGTGTAGTCCTGACTACCTGGAATTTTCTAGGTGATTTGTTTAACGTGTGACAATGATACCTGTCATAGAGAGTTAGAGGAGAATAGCAGAGGCCACGTAAAGAAGGTGTTATGTTTCTGTCTTTACGTAAAATCTACGTCGGTCTGGCATGTTGTTCAACTTGATGTTTCAATATGCCAGAAATAGATTTTTTTTTTTCCCTTGCTCTTGGCGTTGATGAACAATATAGAGTGTGGACTGTTTTGCCTGGCAAGATAATTTAATCCGGGGGTTTTATTGCTTTGTTATAGACTATATTAAACCACGGAGGCATTTACTGGTCTGTGTTACAGGAACTGTCCTTCAAAGGAGTTGAACTGAGCTCAGTGAACTGAACTCAGGGGTTAATAAATACAGCTAAATTCTTAGCAAATTAGCTTAGACAATGGTTGCTGGTCTACAAACTAAATTTTAAATCTAAAACAAATCCATGGCGTCTAATCAATCCCAAAGTAGGACCTATTAGAACTAGTCAACTCAGTTACTGAGTTAACATTGGTCAAAACTGTGTTACTTCATATGGAGGTTAGAAATGTTGATTTATCTCCATTAATCGTGACTAATTGTGATTGATAATGATTATTCAGCTCTTATAAATACGTCTGGTCATGGAAAATGACCTTGCAAGTAAGTCCCAGGTTTTAACTCTGTGTGACCAGAAGTAAAAATATGTTATTTTCCAATTTCTATTCTCTTGTTTTTATAGCCCAAACACTGTTTTCTCCGTTACTCTGCTGTATTCTGCGTTACTCTGCTGTGACAGTGCTGTGAATTAGCCCAGTCTGGGAAAGGTTTCATGCCCAACTCTTTCTGTGAAAAAAGATTTACTGACATGATGATAAAAACAAATTTAGCCTTAGTTTGTCATGGTTGAGTACTTATATGTCCATTTCTCTTACAATCAGTGTGATGTTATGTGCTGTTTGTCAATGTCTACGTTTGGAGAAACATTATCATTTCAGTCTATAATAAAGGTGTCATCGTTACAGTCTGAAGTGTTTTTACAATACTATGTAGGGTTGACGCTTGTTGTTTTTCCCCCCATCAGACCTCTCATAAAGACCTCTCATACAGATACACAGGCTCATATTTATGACTTTATGGACTTGATGTGAACCAATACAGAGCTGCTATTTTAATAAATGTATTTGAGCTAAACTATGTGTCTGTGTCGCTCTCTGGCAAAGGTCAACAATGACCTAATGTGCGGGTTCTGCAACGAGCTGACTGTGCTCTCATGCTTTTTTTGTAACGTATGTTTCAGGTCAACAGAACCCTGCAGAGCCTCTGTGGACAGCTTCTCACCTCTGAAAGAGCAACTCAACAAGGGTGTTGGTGGAGGTGAAGGCTCTGTACGTAGAGAGGAAGATGGGCGTGAAGTCTGGCTCCTGGTGTTCTGGGTCCAGCAGGTGGGTGACCAGACGCTCCAGAGTGGCTGCCTTCAGCCTGCGTGCCTTTACCGTGTGGTACTGGATGAAGCTAAAGGCTGTGGGTGACTCGGAGGTCGAGTCTGAGGAAGAGTCTGAGGCTTCAGAACATGGCAGTACCGGCTCCCTGCGCAGTGTGATGCCAAAGACTGCTCCGTCCTCCTCCTCCTCCCCCCACTCCTGTACTGGATCCTGCGAGAGAACAATGCAAGGACATCAACATCGAAGAGTAAAACAGAAACATAGACCACAAATCTGTATGTCAGTCTTTTCTTTGTGACAAAATCCAGTGAATATTCCTCGAATAGTCATGTCTCAGTGCTTTGGGATAAATTGGCTTATAGTATGAAGGATGGTACTTCTGTCTTTTAAGGCACTTCAAAAACTACCAATTTTGGCCAGCAGGAGTGACCACAACTAAAATGTCTCAAAATAAACTTCTCAATTATTGTTTCCCTTGGAAGATACACTCGTTTCTGGCACCAGAATTATAGTCCATCTAAAATACTCTTATATTTTTGCAGATAATAGAATTTTCAACCAAATTCTATGGGCAGTGTATCAGTGCAATTAAACCAGTGGATGATCTCCTGGAGAATATGTTGATCATTAAGGGCTGCTACATTTGGTGGGAGTTACGTAGCACAAATCACTTTTAGAAAACACTCATACAGTTATCTGATTTATTAATTGTAGTATAAAGTTATGTCAGAGGCAGTACTACCTTGAAGGACAAATGTTTTTACATGGTTTTTGGCAACACTCATTTGAGCTTGAGGGATTTGTTTGTTTTTTCTAAATCTAATTTTGATCCTGTCAACAGTATAAATGTGTTTGTTCAGAGTGGTCAGAATATCTGTGCTGGAAATGGTCTGCTTATGAAAGATAACAACATCCCAATGCTAGAGCTCAGAGTCACAAATAGACAAGTCAAAATGGCTGAAAACCAACACTATACCAATGTTGTGTAGCATCAGTTTCTGATTGATCGATCCAGTTGTCTGTGACACAGGTCCAATCATATGTACAACCTGGTGATGTGCAAAATTGTTCATTTGTCTCTGTTCTTGGAACATATGCTAATAACGTAACCTTATGTTAATTTAGAGAAGACTTAGAACCCAAAAACTAAGACAACTATGTGTAGAAATGTTAACTCAAATGTCAAGCTGACTGTATTATATAGCTTCATTCTTTTTATTATATCATCTTCATCTTGACATTTCAGGAGGTTTTAGAATTAGGCATGATATTTCAGTGTATATATACTGAATATATTATTCAGTATATATTTTGACAATATTGAAACATTATTTACCTCACAATGTCTCACAATGACTCCTTTAAATATCTCTAGTTATTTTTTGGCAGTGTTTTAAGCTGTGCTAGTAAGGAAAGTTAACCTAAATTTGTCCACATTTTTTGGCTAATCTTTTTATTGATTTTTTTTCTAGGGAGTTGACACACAACAAACATTTACTCATTTCACACAGTGAAATAATAGAATGATTCAAGGTACTTCTTAGGTACTGAAGTACCTAAGAAGTACCTTGTTTGACTCATTTGTTTGACTCATATGTGAGTTGCTGCACCTTAGCCTACTTAATAACTAAAAATGAATTTGTTCCTAAATCATTTTCCTCTCTACAAACTTAAAGAGACTGAGATTATTATGGTGGAAGGAACAGAAACAATCACAACATTTACACAATAAATCAATTTAGATGCAAGAAGGTGCAAACTGCATGATCAAAAGTCAGACCAGCAGAAGAAAAGACAATTCTCTACTGCAGTCTCACAAAGCAGGAGCACTAAATACTTCGACTGAACACTGAACCATTTAAGTTAATGAGAATTATTAATAGTTTCTGTGGAACAACTAATTGCACAACTCTACTAAGAAATTGTTTTTTGGTTTTTCTTTTTAAACTTCACTGATGATTAACAGACAAAATCAGGGAACATATCATTTAACAATTATAACAACAGAAAAGACAGCTGACTCTGTTAGTCACTTTAAAAACAGCAAAAAATACTCTAATAATATATGTAAAATTAAAAGTTCATATTTCTTCTTATTTTTATCATGCATAACACTGTATAACAATGATAACCATTAGATGGTGATCGTTTTAACAAGAATAAAAGTTATTGAATGCCTTTTTTAAAGGAAAATCAGAATGCTTCAGTATGTTATACTTAGAAACATGATATCTGTTCACTATTATTAAATAGTGATGTTTTTAAATTTGGTTGTTTACAATTAATAGAAAGATTCAGTAATAATAATAAATACAGTAAAATCTGACATTATAAAAAATTATTATTTTTTATTTATTTATTTATTTTTGCTAAGCTAAAAATGTATAAATGTATCTTCGGTGAGAAATGTTGTTTTTAAACCCTGAAAAAACCCCTCAAAGCCGTAAGGTGAAAAGACCAGGAATTAAAATGAAAAATATTCTTCCTGGAATTAAGCTTTGTCAGTTATGACGGGGGTGAGAACAATGTGTTCACACAAACGCGCACGCACACACAAACAGACAGAGTTATTGTGTTGTCATGTAGAACAAGAGCCTCAGCCAAAGCATTAAAACACCTGATAACAACTCATGACACAGGCACAGTATGTGATTCTATTTGTCCCGACACAGCGTTGGCACAGGTTTCTGTCTGGAAGCACACAGTGTAACAGTGTTAATAACTAATGACGGAGACGTGATTAAAAACGTACCATAGATAAGTGCCACTTCCCCATAGTTCTCTGCTGCTGCCGCAGCTGCGGTTAGCTGGTAAAGTTAAAAAAAATAACTAAATTAATGGAGGGAAAACCGCGGTTTCAGGGATTCCGACGCAGAGAAAGGCTCTTCATTTCGACCCAAGGCATTTTATTATCTCTCATTTTAAAAAAAATCAAAAAGAAAAGCTTTAAATAATTAAAAAGAAAAAAGAAAAGCAAAGTGTATAGTTGAATTCCGTCCAGACACTTGTGGTGAACACAACGTGTGGAAGAACGAGTTTGACAGCGGACTAGGGACAAAGAATGATGGGTATTATTGTGGGCGTGGTCAGTAAGTCAGGTGTGGGAGGAGTTAAGTTGTTCACCAATGAAAATCGGGGGAGAGACCAGAGCTCTGGTATAAAAACGTTCAGCAGAGCTAGTTCATCTTCTTTTTCTGCGATTGCTTCAGCTTATCACATAGGACCATATCCTAACTTATCTGTTAGTAATGTTTTTGCTTTTTTAAAAATCTTTTTCTTGTCCAACTTCGTTTGTGTTATCTTAACCCTTTTTGCATTATTATTATTATTATTATTATTTTCAAGGGATTTCTTTCTGGGATAACGTTTTGCTTTTTTGCTTTCGAAAATAACTTTTTTTTACCTAACCTTTAGATTTTTTTAATTAATTTTTATTCGTCACAAACATGTTTTTTATGTTTTATTTTTATCATTTAAATGTTTCTTATTTTTGCTTCTTGTGGCCTTTTTCCCTTTAGACTTTTCAATATATATTGTCTGTTGATTTCATACATTTTTGTCTACTTTTGGATTTTCTTTCTTCTTTTTTTTTAAGCATTTTTGAACCATCTCATTAAAACTCTATAGCTATTTTTGGATTGAGGTTATTAATCCTTTCAGCAAATTACCATTTTTGAGGATATATTTTAATATTATTTCTTTAAAAGATCATTATTTTTTCATGGTTAATTTATGATTAATCATTTAGCCAATTTTTTTATGGGGGGTGGTCCGTTGTCTGTTCTTTTGTGTGACTTTTTTTTGCACAATATAATAATATATCATTAAGGTATTGTTCGATTGCATTTTTTTTGTAGTTTTTACTTATATTTGGACAAAATATTTGTTAACATTTGGTTAATTACTTAAATCCAAATATAGCTTCCACGTTATAATTTTATTTCTTTATTATAATATTCCCGTAAAATAGTATTAGTAAAATAATCTTGTTATGTTTCCTGTAAAAACAAGTTTCAGCAATAATGTTTTGTCAACTATTTTAAATATCTCTTTTTTGATATATTTAAAATAGTTAACACTCAATTTGGTAATCTTTTACTATTTCTTTAATTTCAGTTATTTTTTGGCAATTTCTAACCCTGGAATGATCTGTGGAAAAGTTTTGATTATTTTTAAGCTAATTAATTTGTTTTTAAACTGTAACGTTTTATACCTTTCTATAGACCAGCTTCCTGTCAATCTTGCCGTATTTTCCTTATTTTGTTTTACCTTAGCATTTAAGAAGTAACTTTCAGTTAACTTTGACAAATAACGTTGCAGGACATATTTTTAAGATCAAAATGTTTAATTATGTTAACATGATATGATAAATATATACCCAAGTCTTAACAGGCATAGTAACAGAGAGAAAATTTTTTTTTTTTTGTTTAAAATAATCTACTCTCGTGTCTAATGATAACTGTTTTTTAGTTTTTTGCAGAGATTATGTAATAAGTTGATGCAGTTCAAACTTACTGAGAAAGTCAGCAGATGTGTCTGTGAACAAATTATTTTATTAAATTACTGCTGTAACCAGTGAATCAAACAATTAAAATACCTAAGATAATTACTGGTTTTATTTACTTCCTTTTCTTCCTTTCTTTCTATTTTTCTTACTGTCTTTCTTTCTTTGTTTGATTCTTTTTTATTCATTTAATCTTTGTTTGTTTATCTTTCTTTTATTCCATTTTCCTAAGGACTCAGACCTATTCTGATGATCTGCAAACATGTTAACTGACATCAAAGTCTAAACTTGTCTATTAGTCAGTCTAGTCTATATTTGCTCCTTTATCTGAGTGGACCTGCGGACTGCTTTATACTATTTTTGACCAATAGAATTAAGTAACTACTGTCTGTATTAACTTTTACTTATGTATAATCCACTTAAAAGCCTTCACTAAGTTTATTTTACCGGTCTTCTTCCATTGTTGCCACCAGCCTTTAGTGTTTATTGCTGCTAAGCTATAATTAAGAGCCCTGTTATTTAACTTTAACTTGTTGTAATCAAACTCCCAGCATCAGAACTGCTGACGTGATGACTTTAAAATAAAACAAAGACTGTTTGTCTGTTAGTTATTTCACACAGAGATACTTTTCACAGTCATTTTAGGAAATGACTTCAGTGGTTACTTTAAAATTCACGTACAGCTTCAATTTCAAAAAGATTTGATATTGACACCTGAGTCATTTAGGTCTTTGTCATTCTCGGATGTTGAGCAGGTCACATGACCTCCTACAATTTCTTTGAAACTTTTCACCTCTGATATAAAAAGCTTTTTAATTCTGACTGACTGCTGGGAAACTACGCTTTTCTTCTGGGATTAAAAAAAGTTCTATCCATCTATCTATCTATCTATCCATCCATCCATCCATCCATCTATCCATC